CGTAGCGCGGGCGGCCAGCGGCGCCGGCGCCGCTGCCGCCTGACGGACCGCCTGCGACGCACGGCCGGCGGGTCAGCCGCCGGGAGTCGCCGGCGGAGGGGGCGGAGGAGGGCCCAGCGCCGACGGCGCCGCCCTCGCACACCCACACCCACACGAGCACGCACTCACCCATGCACGCATGTACACACACGCACGCACACACACACTTGACGCGGGAGCCGGCGTTTAGTTGAAATTAGAGCCAACCCGAACACAGCGAGGCTGCGAGTGTTATTGACTCAGGCTGCTCGGCACTCGCAAACAGGCAGGGGCAGCATTTGGACAAGAAAACTAAGATAACGAGCGGTAAAGCCATCGTGGTTTCACTCGTAGTTTCTCGTCAGGGTTATTAAAATAACCATCTATTCCTACCGCGGATGTGTTTGTTTTATCTGATTCTATCCTTATCGGCTCTGGTGCGCCTATTCATTTCATGTTTGCTGTACTTAATGATTTTGTTACCTGGCAACAAATCAGCGAATGTAAAATGGCGCATGGGTGCGTGACGACGAAGCAAGAACGCTTCCGGACTAAGTTTATCGCTTAATTTGCTAGGATTTACAGCAAACGATGGGTTTTGTGCGCTGGTAATCCTACAGAGATTTATAGCGAGCAACCTTTACCAAACCTTCTACACATGCTTGATAAAGCATCCCGGGAACTCTAGCTAGTGATGAGTTTCTCATGACCAGTCCAGCACTAGCATGGAAATGCCGCATTGAGGCTACATAATCCCGATGACGAAGCAGCTGCTGCAGCAACTGCTACAGCGACAAGGAGCGTCCGTCGTGGTCATAGATGAAGTCGTTGCCAAGTAAGCATGTGGTACTTAACACCAACACCGTGTTTCAGGTATTGGTACTGAGAGGTATTGGTACAGGTATTGGCTCTACTTTGGTACTGTATCTCAGGTCTAACGGTGCGCGTTGTCGGTTCAACCGTCTCGGAATGTGCTTGACACGCCGCTTTTAAGTTTGCCCTCACCCGACGGAGATTTGTCAGACATCCGCCGCCGTAGGAAAACTGAACGTTCACGCAGATCGTATCTTCGGAAATAGGTATGAGTGCCGTGTTCCAAGGTGATAATGGTAGGCCTGGGGTGGCGTTAAATCAAAGACCTCTGCTGTCGCAGACAAATCTGCGTCATCTTGCATCGGTCTGGACCAACAATGAGCACGAATAAGCTGAGGAAACCACACGTTGCATTTGGTTGCTTTTTTAGCCCTAATGAAGACAGAAGCCCAGCAACGACTTTGTGATACAACATACTTTATTCAAGCACCAAAGACCCTAAGCTCCTCGTGTATTGGAAACGAGGAGTTCAAGGCCTAGCTACGAGCTCAGCCACGAGCTCTAACTCTGACAACGAACGTCTTTCAAAACACCGGGAGTTACTGGTTAGGCGACGAGACCAAGCTGGCATAGGCTGCATCGACAAAGCTCAAAATAAAGTGTTTTGCTGTCCTCATGCCCGGTCCGGTTCATCGAAGCGTTCCGGCTAAGCCGTCTGCGTTTCAGGCTGCCTTTAGCGCGGTATCGTACGCTTAGCGTTAAGGCCATGAGATCCTTAACAGCCGGAAAGTTCATGGTGTTCATAATGCCTGGTGTATGGACTTCACGGTAGACATGTGTAGATACGTAAATCCAGAGCATGTGGTGTTGTTTTACGTCATGCAACAAATTTCGCGCGTCTGCGGAAAGCTAAACTGGGTCTCTGTGAAAACTGTAAGTTGTTCCCACTCTCACCATTGCAAACTCCTGCATACGTACATGCAAAGATGGCATTAACAGACATGGTTTTCTCTTAATGCGAATATTTAGAACAAACAATTTTAAAATATGTCTGAGATCACCTAATGCTGTGCATCACAAGAACACCTGTCAGCCTGCATCTGGTTTTTGACGCAAAACAAGCGTTTAAATGAAACTAACCTCCAGTCTTTACACCATCAGGTCAGAGCTCTTATGCCGACAGTAAACGATCTTCAATATGCCAGGAGCTGCTGGTTAAACTATACCACACAGCATTGTTTGCCTTGTCAATGCCCTGCGTTTCAAATTGTGCATGTCGTCACGAGTGATAACTAGCACAGCTTGACTATAAGCACACTGCTTGAAACATCGGCAATATAACCAATGTTTGCTTGGAAACGTCGTTTGGCCAGTATTTCCCGGTGGCTGGTACATTGAAGGGCAATAGCTGTCAGCACAGAAACTTTACACTCACAATGACACAAAAACAGGAGCTTAAAGCCCCTCCTTGCTTAAATCAAGTAAGACTTTGTACCGCTACGTAAACAAAGTAGATATTTCGGCAAAAGCCCAACCCATGGCATCTTTTGCGGCATCATCAGCTTATTTCACCAGGCACCATCTGTGGCAGGATGTTGAATGAACAGTGCCACACCACGGCGGCATAATATCAAAACTGTCGAACCTGCCCAATAGCAGCGCTTAACGAGCATTGCACGGTTGCATTTGAGACCACTGGGCGTGAAATATTTCCTTGGGCGATCTCCGCCTGCAACATAACCAGCGACCGCTACATCCGGAAAATGGCACGGTACTGACTGTGAACAGCTTGCGGCGAGGTTTGGGTAAAACCGTCGCAGCAGGTAATGTGTAATACGCTGCACAAGGCAATGTCCCCCTTGACGAGATACATTACCTTGTACAACAAATTTCCAGCATAAACCGTTAAAGGGTAGTTCAGATATCTACTTTTTCCTAAAAAATGCTTCGAAGCGGCCTTGAATGTGCATGTGCCCTAATATTAGCAGCTGAGGACCGACTCATATCACGCAAGAGCAACGCCGGCACTGGTGTGCATTGGCTATTCAAACCGTACTGCTGGTCCGTGCGCGAGCTGCTGACCTGCTGTGAGAGCTGCTCCAGCAGCTGCGCTGCCAGCTGGCTCTGCTGGCCGCGCAGGTCCTGTGCCAGCTGTTGCGGCAGCTGGCGCGCCTCGGCCACGGCTGCGGTCATCTGTTGAGCGGCCGCCGCCAGCTGCTGCACCGCCTCCCGGTCACTGGCACACAGAGTCGGGCCGGACCTGTACAGGGGAGAGGCCACGCTCCTTCCGGTCACTGACAAACAGAGTCGAGCCGGACCTGTACAGGGGAGAGGCCGCGCTCCTCCCGGTCACTGACACACAAGGTCGGGCCTGATCTGTCCCGGGGAGAGGTCACACTCCTCCCGATCACTGACAAACAGAGTCGAGCCGGACCTGCACAGGGGAGAGGTCACACTCCTCCCGGTCACTGGGGCACAGGATCGGGTCGGACCTGTGCAGGGGAGAGGCCGCGCTCCTCCCGGTCACCGGCACACAAGGTCGGGCCGGACCTGTACAGGGGAGATGTCACACTCTTCCCGGTCACTGGGGCACAGGGTCGGGTCGGACCTGTGCAGGGGAGATGCCACACTCCTCCCAGCCACAGGTCGAGCCGGACCTGCACAGGGGAGAGGCCACGCCCCTCCCGGTCACCGGCACACAAGGTCGGGCCGGACCTGTACAGGGGAGATGCCACACTCCTCCCAGCCACAGGTCGGGCCGGACCTGTACAGGGGAGATGTCACACTCCTCCCAGCCACAGGTCGAGCCGGACCTGCACAGGGGAGAGGCCGCGCTCCTCCTGGTCACCGGCACACAAGGTCGGGCCGGACCTGTACAGGGGAGAGGCCACACTCTTCCCGGTCACTGGGGCACAGGGTCGAGCCGGACCTGTACAGGGGAGATGCCACACTCCTCCCGGTCATCGGAACACGGGGTCGGGGCGAACACGACATACCTGATGCCCTCGATGGCCTGATGCAGCAGCTCGAGCCGGTCGGCGGTTCTACCACTCTGTCGCGCCGCCTCTGACGCCGTCGCCTTCAAGTCCTGCACGGCCGCGAGCACCTCGGCGTCCGACTGCGGGCCCAGCACGCCGTCAGCGTGGCGCCGCTCGAGCGGCCGGCAGCGCTGAACGACAACTAGGCTGGCGGGCTGAGCGGCACAGCCGGCAGCGTGGCGCCGCTCGACCGTCCTGCAGCGCTAAACGACAACTAGGCTGGTGGGCTGAGCGGCACAGCCAACAGCGCGGCCGCGCTCGAGCGGCCAGCAGCGCTGAACGACAGCTAGGCTGGCGGGCGGAGCGGCACAGCCGGCAGCGTGGCGCCGCTCGACCGTCCTGCAGCGCTAAACGACAACTAGGCTGGTGGGCTGAGCGGCACAGCCAACAGCGCGGCCTGCAGTGCAGCTTCGCAAAATAAGTTGGGGAGGAAGGCCAAACAAGGAAAACCAGTTAGTCCTGTTCGGAAATTATACAAAAAGCGAATCTGTCTCCCGATTTTATCCACTTTCAACTGATAAATTATGGTGGGGAGGGGGGTAAGGGTCTGGAGCCCCTACTAGATAATAGACTCCCTGAGAGTGGCCCAACACGGAGTGTTAGATCAATAACAATGCGTGATGTTCGCGGTACGTGTCCACCTATCTCGTGTGATCTTTTGTATGATCTATTTCTCATCACATCTATTTATCACATTATCACATTTCGTCCTTCATCTATCACATCTGAATTCTATCGGCACGTAAATCATCTGATTTCCAAAAGAAAAAGCCGTCGCGCCGAGGTCGCGTCGCCCACTGACTGACCTGGCGGCGGGCGTCGGCGACCCGCTCCAGCGTGCCGCCGAACTCGTCCAGCCGCTGGCCCAGCCGCAGCAGCTGGCGGTCGGCGCTCTCGGCCTGCTGGCGCGCCGCGCGCTCGACGCCGTCCTGCAGGCACGGCGCCAGCGCCTGCCAGCGCTCGGGCAGCGCCTGCACGTGCGCCGCCACCACCGTCAACGCCTCGCGCACGTCCCGCTCCAGCTGCTGGCGCTGCAGCCGCTCCTGCTCGATGCGCCGCTCGAGCGCCTCGCTCTTGGTGCGCAGGCTGGCGGCGGGCGGCGGCACCGACTCCAGGCTGCAGCGGCTGGCCACCTGCACGCCCGAGTCCTGGCTGTTGTCGGGCGGCACGGGCCGCGCCGCCACCGCTTCGCAGCTCCACCGGCTGCGGGGGTAGGGCGACACCTGCCCGGCAACCAGGGCGCAGATGAGGACTCTCACAACGCACCTACTACTCGTCGGATAGAGGTGGTGACAAGCACGGGAACGCGCTAGTTGGACATACTGGTCGCTCGGCAGGAGTGGCTAAGGATGAATAGCGTGAAACTGCGTGGATCAGGCTCCCTGCGCTGTTACAAAGGAGTGCTACACACGGGACTTATGCAATTTTGAACTGAAACAGCCAGCTTGGAGACCTTTCGGTGTTGTTCACAAACCTGCCTTTCTTAAGGCCTAAGCCGTTATAGTTTCTGAGCCATACGCCAGCGAAAAGTGGTGAGAGTACTTTGGAGAAAGTACTTCAGTCACCTTGGCATTCGCGACGTCATGATAACGTCGTTGAAATCCTGTCATTCCGTAGGCCATGCAGCAATCAAGAAGAAAAACATATCTGTCGAGGTATCCATATCTGGCATTCGTGAGCACGATTTCCAGATATAACGGCCGTCGATTGGCTCTCAATCGATGTTGTGCAGGGTACGATGACGTACGACGTCCTTAGATCTTTACCCAAATCTGAGAAACCCCTTCTTATATGGCTGAGATTGGCAAAACAAACCTACACGTGCATTAAGAAGCCTTATGAACTTCAACGTACATTTAAATTCAAATACCAACCTTGACCTTTTCGCCGTAGCCATGCAAAGGTTGCGACAAATCTTGTGACAGAGAAGCTTGAGAAAAATACGTGCTCTGTGAGTCTCGCGGATCAGTTCTCTGCATTCTCTGCATCATCAACTTCAGGGGCTGGTCGGAATTCATCTGCTGGCTGAACATTGCAGTATCCCAGCACCCAACAGTGCTAGACGACGCTACCTGGCAAATGAGCGAGGAGTGCTATACCCAATGCAGCGCACGCAGTTTAGTTGATCTTGATGGAAGCTTTGCGGTCCGGAACTCCTTAAAAGCGTGTTCGTGGCACTGTTTGAAAAATTAAAATGCATCGTTAGAGCTGTAATTACTTCATGTGTCCAGCCTTTATATCCAGTTGATAGCATCACCACTGACCAGACTGGTAACTTACCTACACTAATACTGATTTGCACCCTTGATCACACACGGCCATGGGCCCAGAAGGAAGCATGGAAACAGATTTAGCGCAGGTAAATGAAAGGAAAGCGCATCAGATCAAGCCCGTCTAGCTTTGCGCAAGGACATGAAATCGCGGTCCCATACCAGCGAAATGAAACAAAAGCTCAATTCAAGGCAACCACCGCGACAATCCTTATCTTGTTCCCGCCTCCCCTGTCTGCGCTTTTACGGGTGGGAGGTTCTTATGCGAAAGTACATAAGCACTTTTACACCAACCCCCCCACCTTCCAGCTCAATTTGCGTGAACGCAGTGTCGGTGCGATTGGGGGCGATTGCGATGTGGACAATCATGAACTTGTTTGAAGCTGTCTGCTTGAATTTGGTATTTGGTATCTGGGAATAAACAGTACTCAATTTCCTCTATGTACATATTATATTTTCGCTAAGTATAACACATTGCATTTCTCTGTGGTGTCGTGCATTTAAATTCTTTCCAGATAGTCTCTTACATTCAGCAGCCTCACACCTTCACGATATTCTATAAAAAGGAGTATCTTAAATACCATTCAACGGTGATAACTTTCTTGTGGAGAAAAATTTACAGAAAGCTACCATATCACAAGAATGCGCTGAGATGGCAAATCATATGCGTGTTTTGCCAATGAGGTTCCGTCAGCCGTGAGGTTCTGCTGGGAATGTGTGGGCCTGGTGCAAGGCTGTCAACGTGAGCTGATCTGGTGGGCTGTGGAGGGCTGAGAGAGCAGGCGTTTGGAGGAAAGGAGGTATGAAGGTGGTAACTGATTGTAATGAGGGGTACTAGACGTAGTTCAGTGGTAAGACTGCCTCATGAAACGTGGTTGTGTACCTAGTTAAACGAATCCTGGGTGAATGGTGTTCTGACAAATTTGACGATGCTGCCACGTGATATTTGTTTGCAATTCGAGGCGGGTGCTGTCTAGGATTAGGGAAAGTGATGAATGCAGTTGGTTGTAGCTTGCTTAGGGTTGGGAGACTAATCAACTGTGGATTGCATTTTGCTATGCAATGCTATTTAGCAGTGATGTTGTTTTCCCATGTCAAAATACGATTGTTGGGATTTACTGCAGGTACTGCCATCATGGCCTCCTCCTGTACCAGGAACACTTGCATGAATTGGCAATATGGTATATAGCAGTGTTATGTGGTGTTTTTAGTTGTTCATGCCTAGCTGCAATTTAGGGTGACCAACTTGTAATTGCATGCATGTTAAGGTGTTTTACAATTATCAAAGTTGAGGAAGGGGCTTATGCCCCAGGAGCCACCACAGCATATTCGCCCCTGCTCGGTACTGGTGACTGATTTTGTATGATGCCATTTTATCCTCATTGTAATGCTATGTTAATTGAAGAGGGGGGGGGGGGGGAGAGGGCAATGAAACCCTGACTTCCTACTAGCTATGAAATAATGTTTGGTAGTGGAATTTGGTGGTGAAAATTTCATGTGCCACAACCTTTTGCATGGTCTCCTGGTCATTTTCAGATTATGATCAGGCAGTTTTTTTGCTGAGTTTTAAAAGTGGGCCTTGTGTAACATAGTTACTAGGACTAGGCAGCTATACAAAAATAAGTTAACTGTGTGCCAGAATTATTGAAGCCATGTTTATCTATTAATTTGGAAAGGAATTTGTGAACACTTACCAGTGTGTCACTGAATGATGTCTTAATGACATAGCCAGCTGAACAGGGTTTCTGCCCTGTTATCAACCTCCACAGGTAAAAACCTGTATAAAATGGCAGAGACTTAAAATGCTATGATATTCCTTCTCTGTTAAGTATATTATATTGGTGTTAAACGGTTTTCTGAAATCAAACTACCGACATAGTACTGAGGTCACTCACAACAACACTATCAAAATGTATGGTAATTGTACTGTAGCTGATATAGAATCCAGACAGTGCAATGGAAGAACATCATAGGGCAAAGAACAAAACAGCTGAGAGAAAGAACAAGAGAAGGTGGTAAAAAGATTGATCATATTTTCATATTGTATCTGCCGTATATGAGAGGACTAGTTAGATCATTTACTTTGTTCAACTCAGCATGCCAGGAGAAACAAATCTCTGGGTACCTGCATTTGGTGAGGAGCTGTTATTTTTATGTGTAATAGTTATATTGCTCTGTCATGCAAGAGGTGCATCTGTGTTGCACATGGCACAACATGCTATGCACTTGCAAGAGTAACACCCCATGAATAACACCTCTGTACCCCCTCATCTTCAGATCACCCTGAGGTTGGAACCCCTCTCTGTCACCTGCCTGGGATGCAATGGAGGTCACGGCGGTGACCGACTTCACCCCGTCGCTGACGTACCGCGTGTTCTTCGCGGCACGGGATGGCATGACCATCACGCTGTACGCGCTGCTGGCCGACAAGCCGGCCGAGTGCGTGCGCCGCGCCCTAAGCCAGACGGTGGAGGACGGCGGCCAGCAGTGCGCCGCGCTGCTCATCGCCGCCCGTAACGGCCACAACAAAGCTGTCAAGGTGCTGCTGGAGAAGTTCGCGCCCGACATCGAGCAGGAGGGGCGCGTCAAGTTCGACGACTTCATCATCGAGGGCGCCAGTCCGCTCTGGTGCGCCGCAGGTAACGGACCACTGGCGCTCAGCAGCTCGGGGTCGGGGTGGCCACCTGCGGACGATCACCGCCTCTGTCGTGACCCGTGCCCGGCGACCGGTGTCCGCCGCGGCGCCGGCCCCCTGTGGCTCCCTGTCCGCTGACGGGTGCCCTGTCGCAGGCGCCGGCCACTTCGCCGTGGTGCGCACGCTGGTGGCGGCCGGCGCCGACGTGAACCACCCGACGGCGACGCTCTCGACGCCGCTGCGCGCCGCCTGCTTCGACGGGCGCCTCGACATCGTCCAGTTCCTGGTCGAGCACGGGGCGGACATACACCAGGCCAACAAGTACAATAACACCTGTCTGGCGAGTAGCTGCTTTTTCTGTGTTCTTCGTCATTTTATTCTGCCTCTTGTGATTTGCATGTCTGCTCGGGATGTGTAGTGAAATGCAGATTTGCAATGCTTGTCGACGACTCGTAAATGTTTGTTTGACGAGTGTCTTGCACTGGAAAAACGACTAGCCCCATTACGAGCTGTATGGGGCTAGATTGACGCGGCGCGTTTGCAGTATGGTCTGGGACCACATTCACTGGGCCGCAGTGACATTAATGCCATCATCTGCTATCAAGTGCTCGTGCGTAACGTATCCAAGCGCAATTTGCTTCACTTACCCGTCCGCGTAAATTCATTCCGTGACATCGGTGTCCCCACTTGCGCTTGTGCGTGCTTACGTGCGACAGCGGCCGGCGCTGCAGCTAATCCGACGACGCGGCGTTGGCAGATGATATCCGCCTTTAAGGGCCATGAAGAGATCGTGCAGTACCTGCTGTCGCGCGGCGCCGAGCTGGACCGGCGCACAAACTGCGGCGCCACGGCGCTCCATTTCGCCGCCGAGTGCGGCCACGTGGCCATCGTGGAGCTGCTGCTGTCGCGCGGCGCCGCCCTGCTGCCCAACGAGCTGGGCCTGACGCCGCCGCTGGCCGCCGCCGAGCGCACGCAGGCGGCTGCCGTGCGCACGCTGCTCGACCGCTGCCCGCTCAGCGTGGCGCAGCGCGTCGACGTGCTCGAGCTGATGGGCGCCACGTTCGCCAACGACAAGGACAGCTACAACCTGGAGCGCGCGGCCGAGCTGCTGCTGGAGGCGATGCGGCTGCGGGAGGCGCACGGGCTGCGCAAACGGCAGGCGGCGCCGGTGGCGGCCTACGAGAACCACTGCGAGTGCCAGAGCCTGGCCGAGCTGGAGCGGAATCCGGGCGCAGCCGGACCAGCTGCACATGGAGGGCCTGGCGATCCGGGAGCGCGTGCTCGGCCCCACCAACCCGGAGATCCCGCACGCCGTCATCTACCGCGGCGCCGTGTTCGCCGACGCCGCTCGCTTCGACCGCTGCCTGGAGCTGTGGCTGCGCGCGCTCAGCCTCAAGCAGACGACGCGCACCACCGCCTCCAAGGACCTGCTGCGCTTCGCACAGGTGATGAGGTGGCGGGGATGTCGGCCGGGCGGCGCGGCGAGACACGCTCCGGGCGCGGGAAGCAATGTGGGGTCACACACCGCCGGGAAATGTGCAGTGCGATCCGTTATCACCGTGTTTCTGGCCTAACTGAATGCCGTAAAACGGTCTTGGTTGATACATTCATGTCTGTAATGGATTGTCCCTTTACATATTTCATATATATATATATATATATATATATATATATATATATATATATATATATATATATATATATATATATATATATATATATATATTGATTCCAGCTCCAGATGCATTTGTGCTGCCGCATACCCACTCGGCTCGTTTGGACGCTAACCTTTGGCCATCCCTCTCGTGCAGGTGTTCTCCCAGATGGTGTTCGTGGGCGTGTCGTTCTCTTTCGACTGCCTGATCCAGGTGCTGGCCGCCTGTGTGCAGGAGATTGAGTTCAACCTGGACAAGATCGCCCACCCGGGCCCCAAGGACGAGCCGCCCGCGCTGCAGGTGCGTCGCCGCCTTTACCCCCTGTCGCGCTCAGCTGTCGCGCACAGCACACGGCTGCCCGTAGCCGGCCGCGTTATGGAAGCCAGTGGGGAAAAGAGGGGATCATGTGATAGGTGCACAGGAAGGAACATCACAACAGACTGACTTGAATTACCCAGTTGTACTAGTCATAGCTCCAGCTACCCATGCAATTGTGAGTGAAGGAGGTTTGTAATAATACTACTGACTTATGGATGGTGCTACGTGGCACGTGTTAGTAGCGAATTGAAGAGTAACATTTTGTGCGCCATGTGGACGTCACGATAACAAAGGTGTGATCAGCATTCGTAAATGATGAGAATTTTCAGAAAATGGATTGTGAAAGCATGCATGGGACGAGCACAGCAACTGCTGGCAGATCAGTTCGGCCGATGTTCGGGACCGCAGTGGCCCGGCCCTGTCCGTTCGGTGATGCCCCAAGGCAAGTCTGACGGCCGACTGTTGGCCGGCTCTGCTGGCAGGAGGAGCTGGAGAGCAACATGACGACAGTGCTGTACATGCTGATGATCGCCAACCGGCTGATGCCGTCGGCGACCGAGGCGCAGGGGTTCGAGGTGTACCGCTCCGGCTACCGGTCAGTGGCGCGTGCCGTGCGCGGCTTACCCCCGCGTGGCGGCGGGGGCCGGCCGCCCCGCCAGACGTCCGCACCGCGTCTGCAGCTCGCACCCACACCTGAATCTGTTTGACGTGTGACGCTCAGAGGCATGCACGCTGCCACACTGGGGACCCGCCGTGCGGTTGGAGCGTGGGATGTGGTCGGATGTCCTTACCAGCGAGGACGACGAAGGCAGTTGTTTGCGTAGACGCGGGTCTACCTTTCCCGTCTCTCATTACAGACCAGCCAGCGATGGCACACGGAAACAGTAAACTATCTGGCAGCGGTACAAGTAGGCCGAGGCTCCGGTCGTTGTGTGCGCGAAGGTCGCCTTCCTTAATGTGTGCTATGGTAGGTCATCTTTCCGGGCCAGTATTCCGCCCGTCATGTTGTGATGCACCCTGGTGAGTTAAGGTCTGGTGGTGGGTCCTGCCGCTGGAAGATGTGACCTCTGACTCCACCGCCGCAGGCTGTGCCAGCTGGGTCAGCTGACGCGGCGCGGGCGCAGTCTGCTGCACATGGTGACCTTCGCTGACACGCCCGTCGACGACTTCCACACCAGTAGCATCTGCAAGTGAGCTGACCCGTACAGCGTGCAGCTGAGCTTCCACGGCCGTCCCTTTGTAGTATATGGAGCGGTTGTGAAGCGTTCTCCGTGACCAACTCATTGTCAGTGCCAAGCTGTGAGGGGCGGAAATGTGTGCCGCGCCATCTCACGGCCTTGCTCACCTTGCTCACCACCACGGCCTTGCTCTTCCACCCGTCGGGCCCACCTCGGCTAACAAACTGCAGGCCCTCCAGACGACACCCGCATTTTTCGCTCAGCACCGGTGGAGGCGTCTGTTTCGCTTTTTTCGCCGCCTCTCTCCTGCAGCACTTTCCTGCTCCCCGCCTAATACCCGCCAGCGGCGGCAGGTTCCCGTGCTCGGCCACTGCCCGCCTGCTGATCAGCTGCGGCGCCGACGTCAACTGCCGCGACGCCGAGGGCAACACGCCGCTGCACCTGATCGTCGGCTACCAGAAGCCGATCAGCGACTTCCGGACGCTGCACAGTATCATCGAGGCGCTGGTGGACGGCGGCGCCCACATCGACGCCTGCAACCGCTCCGGCCTCACGCCGTTCGAGTCGGCCACTACAGGTCAGCCTGGCCGGCGGCGGCGCTCCGAGTGGGGTCGGGGACGCAGGGCTCGCGACGGAGGGGGAGTGGAGCCAAGGGGTGTGTCGTGGAGAAGGGTGTTCTCGTCAAGGGCTTTGGGGAATGGTGAGAGCAGCTTGTCTAAGCAGCCAACAACACTGGCGATTGTCGCGAACCTAACGTTAGCGTGCATTTGTAAATAGGTATGAAATATTATGGCTACCATGATTATTGAAATGCAACGCGTATCACAATGCGCTACGTGCCGCTGCAATTTGCTGGCCACCGCTAGCCGTGGCGTTACCCATCAGTCGCGACTTAACCGTCTGGTTCCCGCTGCTGTCGCCAGGTGTGGCCGAAATCATTCTGCGCACCAAATCGCAGATGTCGCTCAAGTGTCTGGCGGCGCGCGTGGTGGCGCGCCACCGCATCCCGTACTGCGGCGCCGTGCCACGTGACCTCGAGTCGTTCATCGAGCTGCACGGGCCGGCCGGTCACGTGGACCGTGTCACTGGCGGCCGCGGTGACGACTCCCGGGTCAAGGCCATCTGACGGCACCAGCCGGACCGCACGGGGCGGGGTGAGGGTTCGTGACCGGCGCCGCACAGGCACCGTTGGCAGTGTGGGCGAACGTTGCTGCGCCCTGCAGTTTTCGTTGAGAGTCTTGACGGGAATCTCACCTGAACATGAGCCCGGCTCCAGGCCGATGGCTGCGGAAGGGATCCGGTCCCCAGGATCGGACCCCCTGACACCGGCGATCGTGTGTGATGGTTGACCTGGACCTCTGCCCCAACGCCACCTCAAATCGTGATAATAGTTACAGCTTTCTTAACGCTGTCGGGAGGGATATGGAAGACGTATTTGGTGTTCTCCGTTATGTTTCGCCCTGTGAGCTTTTATTTGGGTTGTGCAGCGCTTAACTCCGGTGTCGCGCCGCGACAAAAAGGTGCTCTAGTGCAAATGCAATGTTACCATTTGCGCAAGTGTGCATTGCGCAGGTATCGTGTGCGGGCGCGGTTAGTGGGGAAGATAAGGAGTGTTTGTGACTGTCCGCCATTGCTGAGGGCATGGGAACGCGGTGCTTCCTGTGCTGGGACGGGACGTGGGATCGTGATGCTTTGTCGGTGCCGCAGGATGTGGGATTGTGATGCTTCGTCAGTGCCGCAGGATGTGGGATTGTGATGCTTCGTCAGTGCCGCAGGATGTGGGATTGTGATGCTTTGTCAGTGCCACAGGATGTGGGATTGTGATGCTTTGTCGGTGCCCCAGGATGTGGGATTGTGATACCGACGGTAGGGCGGAGGGGCTCTTCGTGCCTCCCCTCGCTGTGCACAGGTCTCGCGCGGGCCCGGACGGCCCGGACGTTCATTCGCTTTCTGGTGACCGGGTCGCCGAAGGGGGTGTTACTGCCAAACCTCATACCTAATCTCATGAACCTGGCACAAATATACGTCATGACTACGTTCTCCTGTGCTTTCTTTGGTTTGGCTCATAGACAAGATCCCCAACGCGGTAAGTTACTGTCATGTTCCGAACCGCTCTGTCAGGAGTTTTAGTGATGGACAATGGATTATCAGATGACGTAATGTTCGTGTGAACGCAAACTTCCTGAGCACCATCCAATCGGCGATCGGTGCTGTGAGAATGCCGGGTACAGGGTTCCGCGCTGACTCGTACCGCTGTCGCTATGGGATGCTTCGGGCGCATTGGGATGCCCCATCGTAGGGTGCTAATGCGGTGAAGCTTAGTTGGCAGTGTCATGCGGACGACTTGATAGAGCAACCAATACAATGTCTTCATGCTTCATGTCTTTTGCGCTCATCGTTCCACGTTTTGCCTTCGGCACTGTAAGTTGCTCGCACGCGCTCAATGTTCAGTGTCACCTGTCAGCCCCCACCTGCTCAATGTGTGCAGGAACATCCAGCGAGCCGGCCCAGTCAGAACGTCGCGTCAGGATGGCCAGGTGCCCCCGCGTTCAGCGGGGTCAGAGGAGCACAGACCGCTAGCAGCGAGATGGAGAGCACCATATGGTCGCTGTAGTAGTCGCCATGCACCAACTCTCAAAATCACAGCAATTTTAGCTGTTTTTCCATTGAAAGGCACGCTGTGGTGGCTTGGCTACCTCGGCTTTTCGCAATGCTCTCCGGCTCTGGGTAGCAGCCTCGGCCCCCTGAGACCAGGCCAGCATGCGTCTTTTTGGAGCAGTGCGTTTCCGTGCCTGAAATATCCCAGAACAACATCGGGCTGCCTAAGCCGCTGTTATTGCCGCATAAATCGTAGGGAATGTGGTGCCGGATCACAGAAATTACGGCGGTTTGGCGTGGCGCTAGATGGACAATAAAATGGAATAATGCCACTTACGCTAATACAGAAAAGCCGTCTTGACACGACGTTAAATGTCATACTTTGCACACCAAGACCGCAACCCACATGCTAGGAATCCCGATAAGATCTGAGTTACAGATGGCATCAAGAGAAGGCAAGCCAGTGGTTGAGACGATACAGTATGTGAGGTAAGAGTTAGGTGAATTTGGAAGAATGAGGTGCTGACCGCATCGGCTTGAAAAGGGAAGTTTTTTTATAAATTTGGTCCGAACCCTTGGAATTGACGGATTTCTGGGATTACCGTTCACACTAAGCAGTGCTTGTTGTGTGAGCCCTGACTCCAACCATCCGATCGCGCAATTCCAGGCAAGGGCAGAATTTAGTGGCGAAAGCCTAGCGTGCCGCAATGCTCGGCACGGTCCGTCCTGCCCTCCGTCGTCAACTGACCTTTAACGCGACCGCTGCCACCGGCCGCAGGTCGTACCTGCCAAGGGCAAACAGCGAGCGCCCTAAAGCGACTCGAACCCACCATGCCATGGGTGGATGGACCGGAACGCAGGCGCTCTAACCAACTGAGCCGCCGGGACGGACATTAGGCAGCGGTCATAATTGATCGCTGCCAGTGATTGGCCCTAGAGTCAACATGGTATGCTATGCATCCATACAGATATTACGAGAAGTCGCGAAAATAGCCTTCGAGATCCCACGTGTCTGTTTCTCATGCGACATCGGTATTCGTCATCGGGGTTCCAGCTTGGGCCGAGCTCAGACTGTATGTCAAGCTCATGTTGCCCGAGCGGGCCCTTCGGACGGGGACGCTGTCAACATTGGCTGTTCTGTCTGTCAGTTACACATGTGTATACCGTCATCACGAGAGCTGAGCCGGGAAAGCCTAATCAGGCTGGTTTAAAGCTTTCTCGTCCTTGCACACCGCAGTCTACCGCTCATTGTCATGCATCCCCACCAGACGCTTTGGTTTGGCTTACTTTACAGCGCCACAGCCGCTGTGTTTATGAGGACCGTGATCCTCGGCACTAATCGCAGCGGTTAACCTAAGCACAGCATGCCCTAAGCAAACCTCGCGCCCTCGCTCTGGAGGTTCTGGAGCCTGCACATTCCCGCTGAGTCACGCCACCCTCCGCGCGGTCCTTGCCTCATCCACTGCCGCATCACTCGTGCTGGCACCATCCCACCGCGCTGGGACATGCTTCGGCCGTCAGCCACGGGACGGCTTCACGGCCGCCCCGGCGGGGACCAGCCCGAGCGCCCACATGGACCCCGGAGAGGGATCCACGGCCGCCCCGGCGGGAGACACGCCCGAACGCCCGCACGTACCCCGGAGAGGGATCCACGGCCGCCCCGGCAGGAGACACGCCCGAGCGCCCGCACGTACCCCGGAGAGGGATCCACAGCCGCCCGGCAGGAGACACGCCCGAGCGCCCGCACGGACTCATGAGAGGGATTCCTGTGAGGAATGAAGCTTGTTAGGCCGCAATATTGTCCCCCCACTCAACATCGATGTAGCCACGTCTTAAGTGCACACCCCTCCATTCCTGAATCGCACAGTCCTGAAGTGGTCATTGCTAGTCGAAAGGCTCTAATTTAAACTGACTAAGTTGTCACCGTTGCCCCGACACGTCAACTTAATGAGCTTAAGATTATCTGAAAACATCTCCAGCGCAGTTTACCAACAAATCTACATTCTGCAAACTCTTCGTGTTTCTCCTGTTCTCAGCAGAGACAGGATACAGATCACAGGCCTGGTATGGGCGTACCCGGTGAGACAACATCCGGCCACGCGATGCGTTTGAATGATGACGCCGGAGTCCCAATGGTCTCCGCTTAGTCCGCCTGAACACCATCACTGATCCTCGATAAGGCTGATTGAAACGTCCGAATCACCGCATTCGTCCACAAACTACACCCAATTTCCGGTGCGTTTTCCAATTGGAGCCCTTCCTCAAACGTATATCTCGCTTTATTTACTTTTCTAGCCTGTTCTGTCGCCCCACACATTCCATTTGCATGCGCTTTCACGGCCCGCCGTACCCAGCGGGGCTGTGAGGTGACAATAGCTGGAGCAGCGGGGGGCGGGGGCGCCCTCGGCCCCCGGCCCGGCCGCCGCGCCGACCGTCCGACCCCGACGCGAACGGCGCCGGCTCGGCCCCGGCCCGGCCACCCTGTGATTGGCCTGTATTCAGGACCGGCGATACTCTGTCGCCGCTATGTAGTTCGGCGCGTTCAATGGAAGCCGCGCCAAACCCCAGGGTTGAGGCCGGCCCCTGTCGTAAGCCGGCGCTAATAGACGGGGACGGACGCGTCTCCGCGGAGGGTTCGTGCGGTTTGTTTAGCGGGCTGGATTGTCAATAAAGAAGACAGATAAAGGGAGATCTGTTAGGGTATGAGGGATTGATTAGTGGTGATCGGAAGAAAACATCGGGCTTGACAGAATATAAGACTGATGAACAATATACAAATGTCAGCTGAATACGATGGATTTCAATGGAAGGGGTTGGATGAGACGGTAAATAGAAACGTTTAGTTGCCACATATCTCGTTTCCTATTCCCTTATTGATTCATCAGCAACTGGTCTATCCATTTGTAAGGAATTTTCATTTTCATTCATTTTCCAAGCATTTCGAGCATCACAGGCGGCGGCCAGCTCATGTCAGAACATTGAGCAATAATACCGATTTACCTCGACTGATCTGGTTTCCTTAAGAGCAGTTGCTCTCAGGATTTCCCGAAAAAAGCGAAGATTTCAAAACTCTTTGTAAGTGCTACAGTTAATGTAGATAGGTAAATAAACCGCGCCACAATGCTAAGAAAATCGCAAATCGATCGCCGATCCGAACATTTTCCGTTTGTTGTCGTCTCGACGGCCATGACTCGGACTGAGGACGCAGATATTGTTAAATATTTCATAATTAACTCGTCTCTTTCATCATGAAAGCAAGCCGTTCTGATATGAGCATGCCCGATACATTTCAGCAATTACAGATCACATTGGTAAACATGTCCGGCAGTTTTTCTGATGTCTCATGGTTGATCTTGCCACGCTGTCAGCCATGCTTCCAGGAGGAAAGAAGCACCCTTTGCGATTGGAGCCAGTACAACGTACGACGATTCCTCGCATGTCCGTAGCTTCCCAACATGGCGAGGCCAAGTGACCAGCTTTCTACATGTTCGAAGTAATTTGTTGGCCGTGCGCTTCCCCGGAAACCTCGAGTACATCGTTATGTGACACGCAGCCATATACTGTCACGCATACAGAAGACTGTTGTGAGATCAATGAATTAGTTCGACATCTTTGTCGTGCCTTTATCATGTTGAGCAACTTGATTTGGCCCTGGTTCCTATTTTGATGGGGAATTTGGAAGTGTACGCCTTTTCTCCTTACACGCCAGACTATCTCGATGAACTGCAGCTTTTAAAACTGTCACTTTCTTTATGTCACTTTATTGCAGCCAAGCACCCCGAGCCGTTTGCTTCGGCTGTCGATCCGTACCTTACACGTCACGTTGCATTTCGATCTGACAGCTAAGTATCAGTGGCCAACACAAGCTGACCGACTGAAGCCGTGCGTCATGACGCAGTCAACTGTCGTCTGGTTCCAGGTGCGACAGATGGTGGGCACGCTTCGAACAATCTCCTGACGACGTAGACACGACTTAACTGAAACAGAGTGAGCCTGAGAGTTCTCTTGAAGTATGCATAACTCCCTTGCAACATGCACATCTCGTCTGCGGCAGTTACAAGTCCTGCAGCAGTTACAGCAGTTCGCTACAGCAGTTCATCTGCGGTAGTTACAACGCCTGCAGCAGACAAGTTCGTCTGCAGCAGTTACAACTCCTGCAGCAGACACAGTTCGTTTGCTGCAGTTTCAGCTCCTGCAGCAGACACAGTTCGTCTGCTGTAATTACAGATTCTGCAGCAGACACAATTTGCCCGCAGCAGTTACAGCTCCTGCAGCAGACACAGTTCGTCTGCAGCAGTTACAGCTCCTGCAGCAAACACAGTTCGTTTGCTGTAGTTACAGCTCCTGGGGCAAACACGGGTCACCTGGACATTACAGCGAACAGTTCGCCGCGGATAAACAAGCCTGGGTGCCTGACCGGTACAAACGTCAGATTGCACGCATGCCTCGAACCTGGGAGGCTGCAAGCATGCGTCGTACTGGACACTCATGTCCTTTCATTCACGAGGTGAGTGTTCTGTCATTAAGCCACCGTTCTAGTTACAGAACATGATCAAACCGGTGTCTCCCACATCGCTGACTGTCTACCAAAGACTTAGCACTACCCAGCCTGCTGGCGTTCACGACACCACACTAATGCGCCGGCGCCGGTGGTCCCATGACTGGGCGTGGTCGTGCCCCACCACCTGCCGAGAAGCCGTGAACTTCAGCGCCATCCGGTCCAGGGGTCGCCGCGTGTCACGATCAAGTCTGCTGAGGGAGCAAACCTCTGCGCCACACGGTCCACAGACTGCCGGGGTGCCGAGGGTCGAGCCCCGCTGTCTGCTGAGGGGCCGGGCCTCAGCCCCGACCTCAGCGTCACACGGTCCGCAGACTGCTTGGGTGCCGGGGGTCGAGCCCCGCCGTCTGCTGAGGGGGCGGGCCTCAGCCCCGACCTCAGCGTCGCACGGTCCGCAGACTGCCGGGGTGCCGGGGGTCGAAACCCGCCGTGTGCCGGCCGGCAGCCGCCAGAGCCGGCGGGCCGAGGTGGCCCGGCTCCAGTGAAAGCAGCCGCGGCAGCCGCAGGGAGCTCAGAAAGAGCGACGGAAGCAGTAGCGGCACGGGCCGGCAGAGACCGGCCTCTGGGCCCAGCCCAGCCGCTGCCGCCGCCGCTGCTGCCGCTGTCGCCGCCTCGGCGCCTCCTGTGGCAACACAGCAACAGTTAGGACCACGCTGAAAGTGGTCACGGTGGGCGAAAAGGAAGTTTATCTATATCTTCTTGCAACGTTTGCCCTTGAAAGTGCAAATACGCTATATAAAGTTTTTGAAGAGTTGAATGACAAAATAACTGTCCTGCAGATGACAACTTACAAAATGTCCGTGTGTATCCGGAGATGGTCAGCCATCCCCGCCACATTGAGAACAGCCGGAGAGCAGAATTCACCATGTTTTCAACAAGGTTTAACATTTCAAATTAAGCATGGCGTAAGAGAAAATCTTCTAAAGCAACCTTTGTGCACCTCACCCTGCCCCACGCACTCGCGCACGCTTTTCAGGGCGGCCCGTGTTTGTGTGTGTGGGGGGGGGGGGTGAAGCTTGCTTACCCGGGGTGAATCGGTTGACAAAGATAGTGCTAGGACTACTTCTACCGGCGTATTTTTCACGTTTCCTCCACTTGGCTCTTCGGTTTTGAAACCACACCTGTGAATATATTGCATCACTGACACAACGATTTTTACATGCATGTGCCTATCTCTTATCTCCGTAAGTCTGTGACGAGGCGGATGAAGCCCGAAGATCAATGCGATTTTACTCGAACCAATCCGGTCTTTCGTTAATGTATCTCTTTGTGAATCCTTTAGTCCCTTAACTTTCTTTGGTCATAGTGCTTTTTTGCTGCTCAGTATTTTTGCCGAAATATTGCAAAAAGGAGAACGCTAAGCGTATCTTCAACGGGCATCAAATCTACAGTCCATTGTTACTGCGCTGTCGGAATAAAGGACAGGTTGATAAGGAAAACAACAGCTAAAAATAACTGCAGTTACTAAAAAGTAAGCCAAATTCGTTCGAAAACACACCTTTTAGGCGGTTAAGTTTCTGGGTCTTCGGTGACAGTACCTATTCTCAATCATTTACATAAATCGCCGCGATGCATGGTGTCATAGAATAAGCATCTCAAGGATCTGTCCATGTGACTGCGATATCCATGTGCGACATCTGTGGGCCTGATGCCAACAACCGTGTGAGGCTGTCTGGCGACCGCTGTGTTGACTTCGTACCAGTGGGGCATGATATTTGGCGGCGAATGGGTGAGCAGTAGTCTCATTTAGAAAGCACGTCTTATAGTATGGTACATCGAACCATCTCAACGTTACTCATTCAACTGTGCCACGTTAGCGATGGTGAATTTCAGACGTTTAAGCATTTGACTTGATGGCAGCTCTGATATGTATGGCGAAGCCCGTGTACACACATGGGGATTTTTTGTAATGCGCATTTGCACACTATGGCAATAATTTCCGTTTACTTGTAAAATTCCTGATATCAGGTGAGCAGCAAGCTATTGACGTAACGTTACGCAGCTGATGATACCATGCATTATGTAGATGTTGGTCAAGTTTTCTCTGCCGTGTGTTCAATGATATGCAATTTAAAATCCTTTTGACAATGCTAATCTTTGCTGGCGGAAGGTTTTTCATTTGAAGGCCCATACATTGGGCTAAGCTAGTTTTGGAAAAATACCATACATTATCGAATCAGTTTGTGATTTGCTGACGCATGCGCACGCCCTTCCACTTTCTATATTAGTGTGAACATTAAAGCGCAGAAGTTTCAAGGACTGTCTTTCAGCTCTAACTGGGACTGAAGCATTCATCGCTTCTGTGACGCCTATTGTTCCACTCAAGAGCTCGAAAGTAGAGAGTCCGCAAGTTCATCAGTTGTACCATAGTCCATTTGAACTTTCCGCGTAATCTTTTCAGGAAAATTTCAGACGCCGAATCAGCTTTTCGTCGTTCATCTGGTTGCAGAATTTAATCAAAGACGTATCAGGCCAGGAAATTGCTCGGAACTGCTACTCCACGAGCGAGCGAGGCAATTTGGTCCTTTTCAGTCATTTCCATTGAGGAAATCGGACAATACAACTAATCTGGCTTAATTTGTCGTCGTTCGTAGTTAAAGTCGGCGGGCGAGTAAAAGACCGCCCCATCTGAAGAGTGACGCGGGCAGGGCGTGCTGATCGGCCGACTGAATGTGACGGCTAATTGGCTCCCTCTCTCTCAATTTGATTCAATCGGAGATGGGCCGGCAATCACGCGGCACTCGAAGCGTAGCGCAGTGCGCTAATGCAACGTGTATTATCAAACATGCGATGTGGCAGAGTGCCCCGTAATCGGGACTAATGCTTTATTTGACGGATGATGATTGGTAGATTTTCATTGTGGTCTCAGGAAACTGTCTCAAAAAGCCAAGTACAAAATACCATAAAGAAATTTCGGATTGAATAAGACGTCAGCTTGGTGACATACCACGCGATCTGACTTATAAGCTATGCCGACATGAACATATCACATGCCAGAGGCTCCCTCCTGATTCGCTGCTTGAAAAGTTAAGGCAGGTAATGCCGGTAGCAGCATTCCCAACAACTTAATATCGGCTCGGCCTTGTGACGCAACATTTCTCAGTTAACCTTTGAAAGCTGTTTTGCGCTCATGGACCGCTCCCATTTTAAACGTTCCAGAGCTGACAATTATCTGTTCAATTCACAGCCCCCTGCAAATAACGACCCCAATTCATCGTTGATCGAACTACTACGACACGTTTGCTCAGTGCACATCTTCGATCTTGTGTACATTATTTCCCCGTGTATACTACAAGCGCCTTTCTGTTGGGTGACCTGGCATGCCCCTAGTCCAGCACGTTATCGACACCGGTATCAGACGGGCGTGCAGCTATGTCATGTATTGTCACACAGGTGGTGTGTGTGCGTCCAATGCACCGTGTCCTCAATCAATCGCGTCAACCTCGTCAAGGCACCTCACCGCGTTCAGTGCACCGCGTCCTCAATCTATCGCGTCAACCTCGTCTAGGCGCCTCACCGCGTCCAATGCAGACATCTGCGCCGCATGTCCGACTGAATACGAGGACGGGCGCACTGACAGATGGACAGACACATTGATAGACGCAGACACGCTGATGGATTGTCAGACACGCTGACAGATGGACAGACACACTGAGAGATGGACAGACACATGCTACTAAACGTGTTGTATAGAGCTGCTCGTATGAAAAATTCTCCCTCATTCGTCCATTGTTGTTCGGAAAAATCTATGAGTTTCACCTGCTAGGTGAGCGTTGGTACAGGGAGACAAAAGAACAAACAAAAATAACTACCTCTAACTTTGCCGAATTCGACATGACGGGATAAAATATAACTTATAGTGTATTGTCGTCAGCAACACGTATGCAACATGCGGTGCAGAGCAGTTTCACTTCCTGATCACGCTGCACACACAACAGCCGAGGCCATGGATGGAACTGTGCTCCTGCAGAGCGGACACCTACCTGCACCCTGGCTTCGGTTAAGTCCAGCCGAAGGGCAAGCTCCTCGCGCGTGAACACGTCCGGGTACTGGGACCTGTCAAACGCCCTCTCCAGCGCATGCAGCTGGTATGTGGTGAACGTGGTCCGCGAGCGACGGATTTTCCGCCTGAAAACAGTTCAATGTGTTAAAATGGTTAATACTAATGCAAATCAAACACGGCACAGGGCTCTGAGTTCAACCTTAAAAGCCCACAACATGGTTTTCTGATGATACTTTTTGCGTCAAACAGACTTCAGGCGGAATGTTAAACATGAAGCCAGACAGGAAAAGCAGAAACAAATCTCGGTTGTCATTCATAGTTGTAATTCTTGCGATTGATGCGTGAGATTACGACAGTGAGCGAAATATTGGTTGCATGCATGTGAAAAAAGAGAAACTGAAGTGGCCGGCCATGCCAGTTTTATTATTTGACCTCCGAAGGCGAATCGGAACAGGATGCTTGCGCCCTGGTCTGCATTTGCATGGAACAACGCAAGCGCATCTCACCTGTACGGTGCACCACTTACTCTAACTTGTCGGTTGGTTCCTTTCCCGAGGCGTCATCGGCGCCTCTGTCTGTGTTCTCTTTTGGCTGTAGGCGACTGGAGGGTACGGAGTCTCGCCGGCTACCTGCACCACATGGCAGACGAGGGTCGGTTGACGCGCTGCATGCCACGGCGGCTTCTGGCTCCGTTCACGGGTCTGATTTGGCGATAATGATAACCTGTCATTTGCGCATATCCAAACGCTGATATTTGTATGAGGTTTATTCGGGAAGATAGTTTCATGTAAATGCAGGCGCATGACTTGACTGCTTCGTTGGTGATGGGCTCAGAAGTTCCGCCGAGTATGGTCCGTGTGGTCTATTGTTGGTATCCCTGACATCAATACCCAGGCGTGCGGCACATGCCATGGCTCTAGCTTAGCCTATCAACCAGAGAATGCTCGCGATTTTTTAACTTTTTTTTTGCCACGCTATGGAACAATCTGTCGTGGCAATGTTTCCGCTTTCATGCCTTGGATATAAAGGAAACGAGCCCATCTGGTAATGAACTTCGAACTTCAGCATCTGTCACAGCGTCGAGGGGCTGAGCCGGAAAGAAATTATTTCAACTTCCCTTGAAATACGCCCGCAAACGTGTTTCCTCTGATCTCCACCCACCTTCTTCACAAAACTGGGGGAGGGAAGAGGAGGGACTGAAGTCTCGTCAACTGCATAGGAAACTAGACCCCTGTTAATTAAGCACCTAATCCCGAGGATTATGATCCCACTTCTCATCGGTATAGATGCGACAATTCCAGCATCTACGCACACTTGTTTCGGGTCACCACGCTTGGCACGTTTTGTGATCTGGTTTTGTCTGACATCGCCTCATTAAATGCAACAGGACAAATGCGTCGTCTGGAGCCCTCCGCACTGCAAGACCGATGTCTAATGCAATTATTGCTGGAGACTATCCGGTAGGGTAAGAGCACGCTGAAATCGATTTCTCTCCTCCGTCGAGTGGATGATTGCTGCGTCCCGGGGAGGGGAGGGTCGGCAGCTGGCGTCAATGGCCCTTGACGTCTTAATAGCTCAGAAACAATGCAGCCGAATCGAGCCGGTTTTATTACAGCGTCCTCAGACAGGGTGCTTGCGGTCTAAGCACCATTTGTTAAACAGAAGCTCCCTCCCTCCGTTCCCTGCTCCGAATGAAAGGCTGCAGTACCAAGCAGTATGGCTCCACGCTGTGAGGCGAGTCGACTGTCCCACCGCGCACGGTCATCTCTGCCCTGTCCTGACCGGCACAGCGATCTAAACAGAGTTAAGCACAACCTGCCGCAAACTTTGGAAGAAGATGTCGCCCACCAGTGCCAGCTTAACACCCTTATCACAAACATGCGCTGCGAGTGTCACCATGTTTAGTCTCACGGTTGCTGGCCTGAGATTAAAAAGTCAAGGAAATCACCATCGGCCAAATCTATGCTTCCCCACCGTCCTTGACTCGACATATTGAGACATTCACATTCAAAGCAACTGAATGTGTCGTTGCTTATCTGTAATGCACACCATTATCAATTATTGCCTGAACCCAAACCACTGTACGCACAAGGCACACACTGCAGGCAGTGAGCGGCTGGAATAGCGGCGATTCACTTCCCGCTCCTGTGGTGTGCGTGTGTGTGATGGGGGGCACCCCCTCCGGTCACTTCCTCCCCGCCGGCCAGCCCGCCCGGCCCGCTACCTACGCGAGACACCCGACGCGGCGGCAGTCGGCGCACGTGATTACATCTAATTAGGCCTCTTTTAATTCCAATCACACCTGATCTGACATAATAGGACGGACCGCTTTGTCGGTTTCGGCTGGGTGGTCTCCCTGAACAGCTCCAGCGGCGCGTGCGGACACGTCGGCAGGGGTGAGGCTGGGCAGGCGGGGAGCTGCGCTGCCTGAGCCGGCTTTGAGCCCAACATCGGCCAGGGGACTCGGCTGAGGTAGGGTGGATGCGGGGCTGTCGTGGTGCTGACTCTGATAAGGAAATCGACGGGGAGAATTGTAACCGCTTTTGTAGAAGAACAGAACAAATGTACACCATATGACTTGTTTAATGCTATGTAACTTGGAAAGTTCATGAACTGTCGACTCAACAGAGAATACAAACGTTATTCAAATGCTTCGTGGAATCGCACTAGCTTACATAAATAACGCAAAAATTGCGATAATTTGATATCAGTATCACACAACTTACGGAGCCACACCCATACCAGTCAAAAGCGGACTGTTTACCGCCAACTCATTGCAAAAGATAGATGACATGCGGTTGTTTAGCTGTAACAACGCTTAAATGACTTCAGGGTGGCATCGTCCTGGCATCGCCAACATTTCAATGCGATACGTATGATAAAATAGGCTACGGGAAACGTTAAACCCCGCTATGCAGTTCTTTGCAGTCGGCCTTGAAATGCTAAACGAATTTAGGTGAAAGAACACCAAAATGCACCCAAAGGAGGACGTAGGAGCTAGGCTCCCCCCCCCCCCCCCCCACCCTCACCTCACCTCACCTCACTTTAGCAGCTGGAAGGCCCCACACCATGCGAAACACGGAGATGCATCACAAAAATACTATGGTGTCATACGTGATACTGAATAAAAACGATTACCACAAATTGCGAACTCCTTGGCAAAAACCTGCGAACCGGGAAGCACGGTGACCTAAAATATGCTCGGACGACGGGCGTTACATTCGTAGGAAGGAAGTGAGACGGAGGTCTTAGAGGTTTAAGGCTTCATTCTATTTATATTGTATGATATATCATACGGTGATAATAGTGCAACAACAGCAGCAGCACCCGCCGCGTTTGCGTCAGGGGACGGAGGTGCTGGCCATCCGTCGCGGCGGTATGACGGTCAACATTCGGTTCTCGGGGCTCAGCGAGTGACATTCACCGTAGGTCCGAACCGTGACCATCGTCACCGTGTTGACCACAGATCACAGATGACTCCGTCAGGAGCCTCCGGAGAGTGCCGGCAAACACTCTTGAGTTGCCTGACACTGCGCTTGTGACCCCTGGGCATGACAGCTCGCTAAAGTCACGGGTTTGTCCCGATTTTTGGCCGTTCTGGAACAGTGCCTTACACATAGAAGGAAGGTTTGAATAATACCCATGACGGTTTGCCTTCTAATCGTGTATCCAACTAGTTTCACTCTATTCAACGTTGCTACATGCAGCTCGGGCTAGATGATGATCGATACTTTAGGTTTATTGTCTAGAAGCATATTATGGTTAAACAGCAACCTTGTGCTCCGAGTTGACAGAAATTGGTGAAAAGATCGGTTCCGGTGTATGGCATCACACATACATCCAACAAATACTCAAGCGAAACCGAAGCACAAGTATGCTGTCTAACTGTAGTTTATTTTCGCTCATAACTGCCCTCCGTTTTGTCATTAAAGCCAATTATTGCTCCAGCGCGTGTCGGCGACTGACACCCTGGTTACCCCACACACGCTCCACCTGACGCGCGCGGGCGGGATCAGTGATAACTAGAGGGGTATGCGGGGTACGGCAGACGGCAATGACTGTATTCTAAGGGCACAGGTTTTAAGTTGCCCCTCACCTACTCCCTCCACGCCTACCCAACTTCTGTAACCAAATTTTTCATGCGCCCCGGGAGAAAGACTACGGTCTCAAAATAGCAAAAATCCTAAAATACATCAGCATTTGGGGAGCCGATGCTATTCGATCCGAACCTGACCACCAACGGATTTATCAAAACTAAGTTCATACAGCAGCGAACGCCAAAAAGTCGTCGACTGACTGCATGACTGTTCGTTTCACAGACAGAGATATGGACTCTCGACGCCCCGCCCAAACCCACAAGACACTAATCGGTGCAATCAAAGATGATATAACACCGAAAGCTTCCAGTCTCATTTCTTTATAATTTTGATATCGTAACCACACTAGTCAAAACCAAAACATCGTCTGCAACACCATGCGTTTTTGGTGTGGAGGCAGACATGGCACATGGCCCTCGTGACCCCTCCCCCCCCCCGTGGCGTTGGTACCCGCTAACCTGGACTGTGCTGCTCTGAGGGCGTCCCCTCCAACAGGCGGCCGTGCCCCAGGATGCGGTCGATGCTGTAGGCCGTCTGCCGGGGCGGCGGCCCGGCCATAGCGCGGCTCGTCGTCCTGAAGGGGAGTCCTGCTGGCGCGCCCCACCTCCGTCTCAGACCCGACACGGCGCCCACCTGATCTGTATCTATATCAGCCGCGATTAAAAGGCAATGCGTGGACGCCTGGTGTGATTTGTGAGCTTCCGTTGAAGCGCCGGGCGTGTTTACTACGCACAACCAATGAGGTTCCGGCTTTCCTTAGCAATGACCAATCAGGTGTCGTGTCTTGTGTGGGGGCGGAGCGTCGAGAGCCTCTATCCTTGCCTGTGGAAGGAACGGACATGCAGCCAGTCGACGATTTGGATGTCAATTTGGCGTTCGTTGTGAGAATGAAATCGAGCTATTAAGTCTGCTGGTACCCATTTTTGGTATGATTAATATGAGATCTTAACACTTATTTATTCCAAAATTTGTGTTACTTATGACCTGTTACCTCAGCGTGTCGTCGCAGGATTTCTCAATGGCTGGGGGAGAGGGCCAGCTCAGCATGCTTGTTGGTCCCCCGCCCCCCCCCCCGTTTTAGTGTTCTTTAAGAGCAGGAAGCGGTTAAAACAACATCTCAGGTTTGAATCTACTTAATGTTGCATAAGTGCATCGATTTAAGTGTATTCATCCTTTATTCGCAAGCCTGGTAATGCATTTCAGGACTTCATGAGGAGGGCCCGAGCATTGGTTACCCGTTTGGATATGCCCCTGATCTTCAGCCTTTTTTACCCGGGATCGAATTTCATACTCCAAGCGACCCCACCCCTCGTTCTTAAAAGCGTATATGGCGCGTAACTGCACGGAGAACTTGACCGCCATAGTGGCCTCTAAATCTAGCTCATCTTGATTTTCTTCTTAAGTGTCATGTTGTCGGGGACGACGTAGCGAGATGAGAAACATGAAAACGAAAAAGATCGGAGGCGTATTTGTTTAGGTCGGAAATAAAAGCATGACAACTTACACGCTTGATCCCTTACACACCAGCATCC